ATAATATAGGGAGTATGTTATTTATTTAATCCTATTATATTTATATAATATTTACATATAATTCAAACTAACTAAATTCTTTATTTAAAAAATTATTTATTTAATAATATAGGGAGTATGTTATTTATTTAATTCTATTATATTTATATATAATATTTACATATAATTTAAACTAATTAAATTCTTTATTTAAAAAATTATTTAATAATATAGTTCGTAAGTCATGTATTTAATTTCATTATTACTTATTTATATAATATTTACATATAATTTAAATTAACTAAATTCTTTATTTAAAAATTATTTATTTATAATATAGGGAGTATGTTATTTATTTAATTCTATTATTTTTATATAATATTTATACTAAATTCTTTATTTAAAAAATTATTCAAATATTTTAGATTGTAAGTAATTCTATTATATTTATATATAATTTATATATAATTTAAACTACTAACTAAATTCTTTATTTAAAAAATTATTCAACTATTTTAGATTGTAAGTAATTCTATTATATTTATTAATATTTATATAATATTTACATATAATATAAACTAACTAAATTATTTAAAAAATCATTTAAAATATTTTAGCCTGTAAGTATTCATTTTTAATTATAATAATCCTATATTTTTTATATTTAATTTATTATAATTATATAATATTAATTAAATTTTTTTAAAAATTTTGATAATTTATTTTAGTTTGTAAGTTATAAGTTATTATATACTATTTATTTATTTAAAATTTAAATTAATTAATTATTATTATATTAAAATCTTATAATTTTATTTAGAGTAAGTATAATTAATATTATTTAATATTAAATTTTTAATTGTAAATTTTATTTTGAATTTTAATTTTTAATATAATTTCATTTTTATATTTAAAGATTTGGTAATAGTGGAAGTGAAATTGTGGATCAATTTATTTCTAAAAATGAATTAAAATGGGTTCCTTATGATAAATTTGAAAATATTGAATATCTTGATAAAGGAGGATTTAGTACTATATATAAAGCTAAATATGATAGTATTGAAGTAATTTTAAAATATTTTGATTATCTTAATAATTCAGATGAAAGTTTAAATGAATTTTTAAATGAAGTATGATTAAATATTATTATTATTTTTTTTTTTAATATTATAATTTATTTATATTAATTAATTAAATATTATTTTTTTATAGTGGAAAATTATTAATAATTCACATGGAATTATTAAAATATATGGATTTACAAAAGATCCAGATACTTTGTATCATGTATTAATAATGGAGTATACAAATAAGGATAGTTTAAAAAGTTGTTTAACAGAAATAACAAAAAATTGGGAACAAAAATTATTTTATTTATATCAAATTATTAAGGGTCTTAATGATATTCATGAAAAAGATCTTATTCATTATAACTTTCATAATGGTAATATTTTATGTAACAAATATGAAGAAGATACGTATGGAATTTTTATTAGTGATTATTTAGGATTATATCAACTTGCAAACCCTTTTTTAAAAGAAAATGACATCTATGGAGTTTTACCATTTATAGCACCTGAAATTTTAAGAGGTCAACCTTATACTCAAGCTTGTGATACATATAGTTTTTCTATAATTATGTGGGAATTTACATCTAAAATTCCACCATTTAATGATAAAGCACATGATCTTCAACTTGCTTTAAGTATTTGTAAAGGTGAACGTCCTAAAATTATTGAAAATACTCCACAATGTTATATAGATTTAATGAAAAAATGCTGGGATGAAGATCCATTAAAAAGGCCATCTTCTAAAGAAGTTTTAAATATCATTGAAAATTGGATTTTTCGTCCTGTGTATAAGAAAATTGAAGATATTAATGAAGAATTAAAAAGAAATATCATGGAATTTATAAATGCACCAATTGAACATAATAATCTTATTGTAAACTCTCATCCAAAAGCATGCTATACAAGTCATTTACTTGATTTTACCAGTGAAGAATTAAATGAAATTCTAGAAGATTCTCAAGGATTTTTTAAATTTTTGAAACAAAAATATCAAAGTTCTCAAAATGAGTTTGATTATCACTCTACAAAACCGAAAATAAAATGGGTTTCATATTCACAAATTAAAATTTTAAAAAAAATAGCAGAAGGAGGATTTGGTATTATTTATAAAGCTTTAATTAATGGAGACATTGTTGCTATAAAAAAAGTTTTAAATTCTCAAGAACTAAATAAATACTTTTTTAATGAGGTAATTAATTTTCAAAATTTGTTTTTTTTTAAAAAATATTTAATATACTAATTTAAACTATAAAATTTTAGTTAGAATCATTTTATCAATGTTATGATAGTAAATTTGAATATATTATTAATTGTCATGGTATCACAAAAGATCCTATAACAAAAGAATTTATGTTTATAATGAAATATGCAAATGGAGGAGATTTACATAATTATTTACAAAAGAATTTTACGGAGATTACATGGAGGAAAAAATTGCACATTTTGTGGCGAATTTCAGATGGGTATTTATAACTTAACATTAATTAATAATGATTTTAAAATTATTTAAATAAAATTTTATTAATAACCAATTTCTTATTTTAGACTTCAAACTATTCATGAAAAAGACTTCGTACATCGAGATTTTCATAGTGGAAATATATTGGTTGAAATAATTGAAAATGATTCATGTAAAATAGATCAATATCTAATTGGAGATTTAGGATTATCACAGCCCGCAAATGACATTCCACATGATAGCAGTATATATGGAGTAATACCTTATATTGCACCAGAAATATTTAAAGGCGTCAAATTTTCTAAATCATCTGATATTTATTGTATGGGCATGATTATGTGGGAATTAACAACTGGCTGCAAACCTTTTGCTAATGTTGAACATGATGCTGATTTAATTTACAAAATTATTGATGGAAAACGACCTAATATTACTTACGACACTCCTGAAGATTTTGCTAATTTAATGAAAAAATGTTGGAATCCTGATCCTAAAAAGAGACCTTTGGCAACGGATGTTTGTGAAATTTTTAATTCTTGGTCAAATATGGGAGTGGATGCCAAATATTTTAATCAAGCTGAAGAAATAAGATTAGAATTAATAAAATTAAAAATGCTTGGACCAGATTTTAATGAAAAACCTCATCCAAAAGCAATTTATACAAGCAGATCATTAAGTTCTTTAACTGGTTCACCTTCAATTATAACATTTAATACGAAACCAAGTATGTAAACATTATTTTATATAAATTTGGACAACATTTACAATATTTTAACATTTAATAATTATTATCATCTTAGATAATAAACTTATTGAAGAATCAATCAACAATAAAGGTACGTAATAAATTGTTTTTTTTAATCAGTACGTAAAGGAATTTATTAATTACTTGATTCTTTTTCTTTAGAATATATTACAAAAGAATATGAGTTTGATATAAATGAAATTTAAAGATACAATTAAAGTTTTCTATTATTGCTTTTAATAATTGTTTTAGACAATTCAATATCAAGATAAGATTTCAGAAGTAATCCAATAAATTCAAGGAAACAAGAGTCAACTGAAGATTTTGATGAATAAATTTTTTATGATTTTTATTCTATTTTATTTTATTTATTTTCTTTTTTAAAAAAAAGGAATGCATATTAAAGTTAGTAACAATTTTAACACAGAATCTTATGAATAGAAACTTTTGTAATCATGTTCTGCTTTATTAAATTATTTATTTATTTTCCTTTTTTTATAGAAAAATTATTTATTATTACAATTACTATTTGTTGTAATAAAGATTATAATTACATCTAAATTGTAAATGTTAAATTCTCACTAGTTGCTATAATTTTAATATCATATTATTTATTTACGTTTACTACATAAAAAAATGCATAAGTAGTAAAGTTACAACTTTTCAGATAAAACCATTTATTTGCCAAACCTGTACACATGAATGTATATAGCTTTTCTCTAATGCGGACCAAATCATGATAATAAAGCTATAAAACACGTTTTGCACTGAATATGATTATTCCTGATGAAATAAATTATTGTACACTAAAATCATAAATGATAGTACAGTATGTATTTAAATGATATTTGAAGATAAAAATAAATTGATGAATAAGCTAATAACTATGTGAGGAAACATGCATGCTGGATACTCATTCGTTTTGTTATTATTTGAATTTTGTAATTTACGTACTAAATACAGTAAATACTTTTGAATTAATCATAAATTTTACAGAAAAATTTTAAATATTTCTATATTTCTTTCATTAATTAACTTTGCAAAACAATAATAAGGCGATATAAAGTTAGAAAACTGGTTCTCATATTAAAATTTGACCCGGCCGCACGGCTTTTTATTTTTTTTTAGAATAAAAATTTTTTTCATAAATACGGAAGATTTCATATGTACATTTATATTAATATAGTTAATTCAATAAAAAGTCATAGACAAATTTTATATATCAAGTTAATTACAAGTTTATTTCTCATAGTTTAGAGCGATTTGATTGGTTAACAAAAAAAAAATAAAAATTTAAGATTCCCGCTCTGGTGAGAACCAATTTTTTAACTTCATGTCGCCTAATTGATAATGTACCATCGTTATAATTAGATTCTAATGAATAATTCTCTTGATTATTATTACCCATGCATTTAGCTACAAAAATTTATTGCAACGCTATGAATATTTTTAAATTTGATTTTATTTATTGCATTTACATATTTGATAAAGAGCTAATATCTCAAAATAGATTGCCTCAACAAAAAAACCGTGTATTAAACAATTATATGGACATATAAAAGAAATTTTTTAATTTTATTAATAAGAATATGAGTACGTAGTCTAAATATTATATTCTTCTTCTTCAAAATCTGTAACTTTAAATTTCTTAATAACACCTAATTTAATATATTTATTAATTATTTCAATATTTTCATCATTTTTAACTAAGCTATCTTTTTCATCATAAGTAATGATTACTAAAGAAAGTGATTTTTGTGGTACACGATTTGTCCAATTTATGAAAAAGGACTCTAATTCTTCTGGTAGTAAATTAAATTGTATGGTAAATTTATGATATAATATTAGTTCATTGATATTTTGTGAATATTTCACAGTCATTTCTAATGCTTGCTTTTCGCTCAAAAATTTACCTCCACACCAAATTTTGATACTTTCTAAATATTTGCAACTATTAAAAATTATTTTTAATGTCTCCAATTCATTGTTTTTAATTCCAGTGGAAAGTTTTGTAAGCATTGGACAAAACTTAGAAATAGCTAAATTTAATGAATTATCATTACAATCTTCAATTTCACCTATATAAATTTCTTTTAGATTTTTCCCATTATTTTCTAAGAATTTTATTAGTAATCCATCACTTGGAAATGCATCCCAAATTTTTAAAACTTGTAATTGTGAAAAAATAACATATTGTAATTTTTCAAAATCAACAAAGAATTCTTCAAGATCAAACGATAATTCAAGTTCTTGTAAATTTGAGAAATTGGCAATAAAAGACAATGATGGAGTACAATAAACGCTGCTATAAATACCTAATTTAATTAAAGTTTTAGGAACTTTTGACATTAATGAAAAAATTATATTTGCCATACTATAATCATCATACAGTATCATATCAAATTGTTTCAAACTTCTCTGAACAGAAATTATATCTGCTATTCCATTTGAAATAATTCTTTTAAATTCTATAGTAAGTGATTGTATATTATAACATGTTTGAGATAGTTGATAAAATAATTCGGTGGAAATATTTGAACAACAGCGTAATTCTGAGAGATTTTTTAGGCAATCTTTTGCTCCAGGATATAATGAAAAAGTTATATATGGAACTGAGGTAAAAGTTAGACTTCTTAAAGAAGAGATTTCTTTCATGAACATTTGAAGTACCTCCTGCACAACTATAAGTGTATAATTTTTAAGATTTTGTAGTAAAATATTTTGTTGATTTTTAAGAAGCCTTTCAATATTGTAATAAATTCGATTAACTGATAGAACTTTGCAAAATGATGCATAATTGAAAGTGGGAGGTTTTAAAGTTGGGGTTAAAATAGTAATTTCATTTTTAGATAAAATTTCTTTTGACTCGTTTGGAAGGCAAGCAATTAAAGTACTGAAGATCGAAGTAGTATAATTCCAATCATTTCTCCACAAAATTCTTACTGAAACTTCACACCAAAGGCGATTAACTAATATGCATGAATACAAAGTATGTATGTTATCTTCCAAGTACTCAAAAATCTCATTCCAGCAATCAGCAGGAAGTTTAGACATTGTTTTTCAAATATAACAAAAAAGAGTTCAAACTTTAAAAATTAAAATGAGGCGAAAAGTTCATTATTTATATCATTTATGATTATGCCGATCGTGTTACAAACACAAAGGTCATTTGGTCTTACAAGTTTAATTAAGGTAACATGTAAAGCTAATATGATTGGCTGCCTTACTAATATCATTATATGTGTTTATAGTATAAGATTTAAAAAATATTAGTGTGAGAATATTCATTATTTTTAACCGGATTTTTTATTTTTTTGTAATATCTAAAAAAAAAAAATTTTTTTATTCGTTTATATAATTTTATATTAGTCTTCCTTAATAAATTCATTTAAACATTTTAAAATTTGACGAAGAACCCATGAACTTTAACGCGAGTACTGGCGTTGGTATTAGGATCAAGTCCAGCTGCTTTACATCATTGTTTAAACTCTTGAAGCCAAAATAACGGATTTTCACCTGGCAAGCCTTTGAATTTCTTAGGTGCGTATCCAGCATTCCGGCCATTGTTGGTTGCATTTTTTTTGGACGTATACTAGCCAATTCTCTTTGCCTGTTTACTATTATTTCTTCAAGAGATAATTTAAATTTCTTGTCTCATCTATCACAAAGTAACGGAAGTTGATAAGAAATTGAGTAGTGTAACCCTTGAATTTCATTTGATACTTGCAAAAATTTTCAAATAAAGATGGGCCTTGTTTGATTCAGTTTATATTAATTGGAGACGATCATGTGGCTAATACACTGGAAATATCTCATAAGCACACTGATCACGTTTGCATCTATACAATTCGTGAAAACACATGTAACATTTTTCTTTAGACTTGTAATATACTATTAATATTATATATTCAATGTCAATTAAAAAATAAAAAAAAAATTGAATTCTGTTCATAGATAATCAAATATAAAAATCTTTTCCTTTATTTATATATACTGTCAGAAATTGGAGAAAGAATATTTTTCCTAATAGCATAAAAAAAATTTTACCTAGAATTCATTATTAGAATAAGAGAGATTCTCATCGTCGGGACATTCATAATCACATTTTTCAAATTCTTGTTGATCTTGAACGGAATAAGGATCTTAGAAAATATTAAGCAGTTAAGATACTGTATATATATAAAAACGCATTAAAGGAGATAGAGTAATTAATTGTACCTTTGAAGCCTGTTCTCTTCCAGAAAAGTTTGTGAGAAATGAAATCTTTTGGCTTATCAGGATTAGGCAAAACTTTCTCTGATTAAATAATAATAACAATAATAAGTAAATAAGTTCACTTAGGACAAAAGAGTTTATAAATTACCATTAATGTGTTGTATATCTCGGCCTTGATTTTCATCTTTGCAATTAATTACATTTTGACAATAATCGATATGACGATGTCTGCCTAAACCTTTACAGAACTAATATAGAGAAAGAAAAAATTAACATAAATAGGAAATTATCAATTATAGTTTTGTGTTTATGTAATACTCACTAAATTGCAAAGAACAAATGTTCCTTGATCACCAACTCTTAATTTATATCTAACAATTAGAGATCTTAATTAAAAACAAAAACATCATATTTACTAGTAGGTTATTTGTTAATGATTAATATATTATACCCTGCATATTCAAACACATTATCTTCTCCTGTGAATTCAGTTTGAGTCATAATTCCATGTCCCGTGTCATGAGTGTGTAGTGTGTGTCCATAGGGTAACGTACACTAATTTTTTATAGTTTTAATATTTTAATTAACAAAAAAATTAAACATAAATTTTCTTAATACATACATAATATTCACAAAACTGGCATTTTGCATCACAATAATGAAATCCATTTTCCTTATGCGTATGTTTTCCAGTATGTTTAAATTCATTTGGAGGAATCTTTTTATTACATTTTAATCTTTCACTTAACTGAATATACTATTATAAATAACAAAACTTTAATACATTTTTGTATTATACCAACAATATTAATTAGAATTTTATATGCATTAAATTGTACCTTTGTAAATGTAATGGAAGTTTCTTTGACTAAACCTTCATAAATTTCTTCTTGCTCTTTAGGTTTAGTTACCACTTGACATATACCATTATCTTCACATAATTCACGACATTGATGCTCATTCCTTTAGTCAAAAAAAAATTATTTTTAATTAATAACATTTATTTGAAAATAATCATAATAATACATACCCACAAAAATGATTGACCTGTAGGTCAGAAAAAGCATGAAAATGATCATCACTTTGACATCTTTCTTTGCAATTCGGAATTGGACATTGAATTGGACAAATTGTATTCTCACAAAGATGCAAATCATGTTCTTCTTCATATGACATAATACATTTATTTAGACATTGATAATCTCCTTTTTGGGTATATGATGATAATGTACAATTTTTTCCACAATAGTGACGTTTTGATTGACATAAATGTTCATTGTCATCATGTCCGATTTTCTTTGAACAAACCTTTTGACAATTACGCTTGTCAATAAGACTACAAGGTTTACCACATAAATGACTTATTTTATCGCAAGCATGTTTTCCTTCATGTCCAGCTTTGTGACTACATTCTGGGATTATTATATCTTTGTGAGCTTCAGTAAAGTGACAAGAAAAATGACACTTATGATCAGTTAAACAGTCATGGTTTTCTTTGTGATCACGATTTTTGACACATTTCAAACCACATTGATGACATGTTAATCCACACAAGGTCCATAGGAGTGAGAGTTTGCTTATTTCTTGCTCCATTTCATACTTTCCATTAACAACATTACTGTTATCTTGTGGAAAATTGGCAGTATTTTGCATATACCAATTTTGAACACGTGAAGTTCGACGAGCAATAATATTCTTAAAGAATCTATCAAGGCTAGAAAACCATTCATTGTCATTAGATGATTCTCTTCGAGGTTGTACAATTTCTTCAAAATAGTTTCTTAAAATATTAGAAAGTTGGATACAAGTTTCATATTTATTATCATATAACCAGATATTAGAGTCTGGTAATAATTTAGTTGATTTTTCAAAGTTATTCAAAACGTCACATAAGTTAATTATTGGGTCATCAATTGGTTTTCCAGAATCGTGATTCTATTTGAATAAAAATTAGATATACCTCTCATCAAGAATTTAATATTGTGTACATTAAATAAAATTTTTTATTTACCATAAGGTGTTCAATGATAGAATCTTTTTGTTCTATACCATAAGAAACAGCAATTGGAAATAATCTTTTTAATGTTGCAACGCGAATTTGTATGAGGTTTTCGTCCAATGAACCCCAATCACATATCTAAGTTTACATCCAATGATGAGAATTTTTTTTTAATTATCTTTATTTAATGTTTACACAAACCTTCAATTTAGCCATGATTACTTTTGTATTTTGCAAGAAAGCTCTTGCATTTTCATATTTAGTTTCTAGTTTATCCAGCTTTGTTTTAAATATAAATAACTTTTTAAACCATGCGATATCACCAAGAACTGGCCAAGATATAATATCCAATCCATTTCCACACATTCTTGTTATAAAATTATCTTCAACTTCCTAAAACATTCAATTAGTTTTATTTTTTTTTTAAAAAAATAGACAAATAAAATTTTTTAATTACCTCTGAAAATAGTTGATCAACTCTCGATTGAAATTCTCTAGTAATATAATCTCTATCTAATTTAGGCACGTCTTTAATGATAACACAAAGTCTTGCCTATAATAGTTAATAGGCAATGACTTTTTAGTATTATAGTTTAAATTTATTTATAATCATGATTTACCTGGAATATATTTGGATCAGACTCAAAAAATTTTGAACCATCTTGAAATTTTTGAAACATTGATATATCTCTATTTATAGCAAATTGATTCTTTGGAAATAAATAATTTATTATTCATATTAGTAACATGTAAAACAAAAGCGGGTCAGCAAAACAGACAATATTTACTTTAAAAAAAATAAGATTTGAAACAACTGTATTAAAAAGTGCTAAAAACATATCTAAGGATAATAAACATTCTTATTAGTTGATAAATAAAAGGGATTGAATTGTAAGAGATATATACCTTCTTGTGGAGTTCTTTCAAGAGAATTTAATCCTTCAAAGTCGAGCGCAACATAGACACATTCTTGTGTATTTACTATAATAAAAAGTTAATAAAATATCAATAAAAAATATATATTTTTTAAAAATTACCTAATGACATCCATACGCCTTCAGTACAACGCTGAAAACAAATTAGCTTAAATTTTAGAATTAATAAAAAGGCTTAAAAAAGAATATTTATTATACCATTGCTGATCCAAATGTAGTTCCAACAATATGGTTTAGCATAAATGATTTCCCACACGATTGTTCGCCCATGATTGAAATAACTTTTACTTTTTTATTACCAAAATGCTTGAAGATTCCTTCATACCATCCAAAAGATATATTTTTTGATATAATGTCTACATGATTATCATCTTCAAGTTCAATTAAATAATTTTCGTTCGAAGATAATCCATCTTTAAGTGGTTGAAATAAATTATTTCTTGTTACAGCAATTTGTATAGGAATTAAACAACAAAGTTGAATAATCCATTCGCCTAATTGATATTCTGATGAAAATTTCTTCTGAAAATTCGCATCTTCAACATCAAGTTCCTGAAATGTAATCACTGATGTAGAAAACTTTTTTAGAATTGATGCGGGTTTTTTTGTGGAATGTTTCAAATTTTCGAACATCTTAATGATATATTCTTCAAATTTTTCGCCGTAATCTTCAACAGCATCATCATCAATATCGAGAACTATTTTCAAACAAAGAGGACGATTTTGCTTAGAATCGATACAGTTATCAATTGGATATTTTTCAAACGTTAATTTATAGGCATTAATAAGATCATTTAGGTTTGTTCTCTGAAATATAGGTGACTTTTTTCGCATGCATTTTTGGAAACGAAATTGAGCTTTTTCAAGAGTAATTTTGACTAATAAAGAATTCAAACACCCATTCTGTAAATCGAGTGAGATCAAATGAGTCTGTCGGTTATTGATACAGGAAATTTGAAGAGATTCCAAGGATTTAAAACTTGATGGTAAATCAATAACTGAAATATATTAATAATATTAAATTTAGTATAAATTTTTATATCATAAAATAAAATTTTAATAACACACCTTTACTAACAGGATCTCCAAAATTTTTGGAAAAATAAACGTAAACACGATTAATTTCTTTAATATCATTATTGTAGTCGCGTTGCTCTTTCGCAAATACCATAATACAAGAACCATCGGTAGAACTTAGAACATTTACCAATTTACGTGGAAAATTACAAGCTGCTGGTCGGAATTGTAGAGTTATGAGATTAAAAGTACGTGCTCGTCCATCATTCTCAACAAAGCATAGTTCCTCAGTATCTTTGATGAATAGAAAATATTTAATGTTCGGTATACTATTATTATACCATTGCAATAGTTGAATATTTGCATAGTGTCCATATAATCTTGATTGATTATCATCAAAAGAAAATACATCAAGCTGTTATTATCAGAATTTTTTTTTTTAAAAAAAAAGAAAAGAAATGCTATTAGACAAAAAATGCAGAACTTAAATAAACTAGGGATTTCCAACAAATACCTTAACTTCTTTCGTATTATATATTGCGAGGAACCCTTTTGGCTCATTAATTGCAATAATAAAATTTTCATCTATATTCAATATTTTAAATGGTTTAATAGTCAAATGTGATTTAAAATTTTGTGCCAATTGTCGCGCAGTATCAAAGAATATTTCGATTCTTTGTATTTTTTTATTATAAAGCACAAGAAGAAATTTACGATTATCGAATTGAGATATCTTTCTATAATTATAAAAATGATATTAGATAATGTCTTAAAAGATTTAATTTTGAATTATAATTTATTAATATCTTACTTAAAATTATAGTTCTGAAAATCAATACGAAATGATATACCATATTGATCCATGTTAGAAAGTAAAATTGGACATGGAATATGGGAATCATTTTCATGAATCCGAAGCTTATCTTCTTCTTTTAATGCTGTTTCATAAATAGTTATCTGCAGTTGGTTTGGTTGAAGCTCTTCAATATCATATTCAACCATAAAGCATGCAAATGATTCTATAGAATAAAAAATTATTTTTTAACCTGATTCATTAAAAAGTATATTCAAGTAATATAAGAAATTAGATTACTTTTTACATCTAACACAATTAATCGCATAGAACTACAAAATGTGTAATTATTAGTTAATATAAATAAAGAATAATTTCTAAAAAAAAAAAACTCACCCATCTTTATATTTAGCTTCTATTTCATTACATATTTTGTCAAACATATCTTTCTCAATTATTTTCTTTTCTTCTTCATATTCTCGCTTTAATTTATCTTCTAATAGTATGTTATTTCGGATATTATTCAAAAATTCTTGAAGATTATTAAGAAAATCATTTTTTTTCCATCTATTATATTCTTTAAAGAAATTATTTATAACCAATTCTTTAATATCATCATATCCTTTAAATAATTCAAAATTTATGAGTTCTTGAATAAATTCTTCATCTGATTTATCTTTGGTCTTTTGTTTTGCTTCATTGATATATGGATCGCCAAATACCCATCGCTTTGCCTTATCGATTTTAGAATCATAAAGTATCCAATTAAATTTTGATTGTATTTGTTGTGTATATTTTTCAAGAAATTTTTTTAAGTCAGTTTCGTCATCAATGAACATATTACGAAAAATATTTGCTACATATTCTGTTATTTCATCATCATTTTCTCCTGCTTCGTTGGCTTTTTCCAGTATATCCTCAATAAAGGTATATGTTAAATTATACCTTTTTTTCATTTTTTTCCAATTTTTTGAGTTAATTTTAATCTTTTCTTTAATTTGATTTTCTATTTCGGGATATTTTGTTCGAATTCTTTCGAAATCTACATAATTAAATAAATACAATAAATATTGCTGGTTCATTAATGATTGTTTTATTTATAATTACCCGTATCGCCCAAATTTGTCTGTGATAATGAACTTTCTTGTATATTACGTTTGTCAAAATTGCTATACATTTCATATATAAGAGAAATAATTTAATGATTGTATAAATATACATTATTCAAATAAATATTAATTAATATGCGAACCTCTCAAAAGAACGTAGTTTTATTGATGTCATTTGTTGAATGATACTAATATCTTCATCGATAGCACTTTTTCTTTGAATCTTCCTCATTTCATTTTGCATTTTAGCAACGGATAGTGCTTCGTGCAGTGGAACTAAAAGTTCACCCATGTTTAATCCATGTTTGACAAGTAATTTCAATGCTTTTATATCCATCCTATTACGATCAATACGTAAATAACGATCTTGCGATTTAGTTTTAAGATCATCTGGAAACTGTTCTGCAGAAATATATGAAGTAATATTTTTTATATGCCAAGTTTTCCTTATCAGTTGCCGAGTGACGAATGATTGATTTGTAGTAGATTCAACAACTAAGAATAAATAGATTTATTTAATAAAAGATAAATCTCAGTTTAAGTTAAAGTAAAAATTTTATAATACTGAACCTATTGGATTTAATGGGACACCATCTTCCATTTGATTATTAATTTCGATCTTGATTTTGTTAGGCAGATTCACCTTTATATGAAAAATTAATAAAAAAATTATTAAATTAATTATAAACTTATTTATTTAATACAAAAATTAAACCTTAAATCCGTCATCAATTTTGACATCATCTTTTTCTTTTTGGCTATTCTTTACTTCAAATCTATAGTCATCATCATCATCATCATCATAATAATCATCATCATCAGAGTTATTATAAGAATTTTCTAAATTTAGATTAAAATTTTCTAAATCTTTATAGCTCATAAAACACATCTGATGATCGGTAAGTTTTGTTAAGTATCTAATAAACAAATTCAAAATGAAATTAATTATAAAACCCTAAATTTTTAATGCAAAAAAAAAACAAATAAAAATACCTATGTAAATTAACCATATTCCTCTTAATCGGAGAAGAATAATTTGAAGCATTTTCATAGCATCCAATTTCGGGCCAATGAATAATTAAGCCCAAATTAGAATTCACTATTGATAAGTAAATTCCTGGACGTAACGAAGGTTGGTTTGTATCACCAATTGATACCGAAGTTGTAAGTGAATCATATCTATAAGAAAAATTTGAATTAATTATTTTCGTTTATATGATATTATTACAAAATAAGATATATTATATTTACAATTTTTGATCAATTATGTTTCTATTCAACAAGAACTTTGCGATTAAATTGCGATTTCCATAACATCCAATAAGACGAAATGAGATTGAATTCAATTCTGTATAATTAATTTCAGAAATAGATTTGAAACTTGATGGGACCATATCATTGCATAGCTTCCTTAAATATTCCTTGGAAATAATTATCTTATCCACTTTAAGAAATTAAACATAATTAAACCACTATTTCTTTGCAGAATGTCCTAACATTTTGAATTCACAACTAAACTTACCAATGCCGTTTGAACCTTCATCATTACGTAAGTCTAACAATCGATACAATTTACTAATATGTGAAGGCGCCGTCAAAGGATTGACATGAATGAAAGAGTCACTCATGTCTTCTAAAGAAAGAATAACGAATATATTAGTTTGCTTGTTGATCATTTCTTATTTTATTGAATGCCGAAAATAACTTTGAATTAAAAGCAAAAAAATAAGTAAATAAAATTATATATATGTACCATAAAAATCGTTAAAAATCTGTTACATACAAAATTAATTTTAAACGACAAATCACATTCCATAGATATCCTTGATATTTATATAAATAAAAGTTCTAAATTGTTTTTGGAAACAATCGGCTAAATAAAGCGCCGACATATAATAAATTCATGTGACAAGTAGATCTTTATCATTTCTCGACCATAGACGCACAACAAATGAACCGTGAGAAAATTTATTTAGAATGTATTTATTTTGAAACGGTGTAATGTGCAACATGCATAAAGTTGAATTTTAAAAATCAATATGACGACGTCGCTAATGTAAGGAAAAGAAATAAAATAATCAAAAATTTCAAAAACTAAAATTAATAGTATATTTATTATAAATTATGTAATCAGTAAATGATTATTTAAAAATTCACAGAATTGAAACTTTGCATTATAAAATAAACAGCATCTTAATTTTCGCTTAGTTGAAGAAGACTACTGTATATTTACTAATTATTTGGGCCAGTAAATCGGTGACTGCGTAACCGGCTAAAACAAACAAAAACAAAGTGGCTGATTAGTTGAAATGATTTTTTCGTGATAAGTGATAATATTAGCGATCAACAAGCTCCAAACTGCAAGTTTTCAAATAAAAATACAATTCATAAGTGGATTTCATTCAACTAAGTAAATTAGCGAAATTGATTACTACAATTTTGTATTGTACATATAGTAGCTTTAACAACCGTATATTTAAGGTAGTATTATTGTCCGGAGCGAAGCGAAGGACAATATATGTTTACGCGCTAATCATATGAAAAAAAAAAATCGATCACGTGAATTCTCTGTCCGCTACGTGATCGTCACCCAATGAAATCGCATATTTTAGTTTTTCGCTCCAGTTCTGAGCAAACAGGGCGGACATAAAAACACTAATTTTAGAACTTTATTCCAAGCCATATGTCTACGCATTATGAAAAATGAACTATCACGTGAGTTTTTCTGTCCACACGTGACGTCGTCGAGTTTTATCTTTTTTTCGCTCCGGACTTACAACGGTTTCCGTTCCTAGTTTATTATACTTTCTTCAATGTTAGTAAAAGTGATTAATTAAAGCACGTGGCGGACAGAGAAATTCACGTGATTGATTTTTTTTTCATAGTGCGTAGACATATATTGTCCTTCCCTTCGCTCCGGACAAAAATAAATAAATTATACCGAATAATTAAAGTATTTTAACATGCTCAAAATAGTATACTTTGCAAGATCAAAGTGAGATTCAATCAAAAGTCCAGCTTTCTGAATTGCAAGGTTATAGTTTGTTCCACCGCGAGCTTGATTATATTTAATAATCCTTTATCTAGATTTTTGATAACCTGTAGAAAGATAATTTACCACCATTTGATTCATTTCTTTAAAATAAATCAAATGATATAAAATTGTAAAATTTTTAAATTTAATGTTTTTCAATCATCATTTTGTTAATATCAATTATGAAAACCATCATTTGATTTGTTATAATAAGATGAATCAAATAATTATAAATTTAAAAAATTTATAATTTCAAAATACATAAATCTTATATTATTAGTTAAATTACATTTTAAAATCTGATCTTATATTATTAGTTATTTAAAAGAACTTACTATAAAATTAATATTGCTTTTTTTTTAACTTATAAAAAATCTATCGGTATTCTAACTTTAAAAATTTAATACTTTTTTAGAAAACAATCATTTGGAAAGGATTTTTTATTTTGGCTCTTTAATCGTTCATATATTCTTGCTGTAAGTTTATAAGTTTTAAAAATGTTAGTGTTTTAATATTAATGGATATTCATTATTTTTAACCGAATTTTTTTACTTTTTGGTATAATTTAAAATGTAATCTATTAATAAATTCATTTAACCATTTTTAAATTTAACAAAGATTCCATGAATTTTAACACGAGTTCTGGCGTTGGCATTGGGATTAAGTCCAGTTGCTTCACGTAATTGCCTACCAAAGTAACGGATCTTTATCTGGCAGGTGCGTATCCGGGCATTGTTGGTTGTTGAATTTTTTTTAGGCGTATACTAGCCACTTCACTTTGCCTGTTTACTATTGCTTCTTTCGAGAGATACTTTTTAATTTTTGTGGACTAATAATTTCTTATAATCATAAAGTGAACGGAATCACGGAAGTTGGTAAGAAATTGAGCAGTGCAATAATCTTTGATACTTGCGAATAAAGATGAATCTTGTTTGATTAATTGGAGACGATCATGTGGCTAATTAGTAATGAAGTACCGGAAATATCATAAAAAAATGAAAAGAGACACGCTGTTCATGTTTGCGTCAATACTATTCGTGAAAACCATTCTATGACATTTCTTTTTAGACTTATAATATATTAGTGTTATATATTCATGTCAATTTTAAAAAAATAAAAAATTCTGTTCATAGATAATCAAATATAAAAATCTTTTCCTTTATTTACAGTATATATATATCAGAAATATTTGAGTTAAATATATATGTACTGATGTACTACAGATAATCAAATGAGACAAAAAAGAAATTCATATCCTACTACTAATCAGCTATTTTTACAACATATTTACCAACATTTTTACCATTCAACATATCAACAAAAGCTTTTGGTATATTTTCAACTCCATCAATCACAGTCTCTTTATAAATAATTTTGCCATTTTTAATCCATTCAATAATATCTTTTTCAAATTCTTTTTCAATATCTTTACCAATATAATCCGTTACCATAAATCCTTGGATATTTATGCTATTAGCGACAATATTGTTTAGATTTTTAATTCCATATCTTTCGTCAGGATTTGTTATATTGTACTGTGATATCATACCACAAACCACAACACGTGCAAGTCGATTACAATGCTCCAAAGCCACTTCAAGAGCTTTTCCACTATTAAAAAAAAAGAGTTTTAAAAAATTTTCATAATGAGGTTATATTTATATGGATACATACCCAACGTTATCATAATAAATATCAATACCGTTTGGACAATGCTCGGATAACGCCTAAAGATATAATGTACAAGTTGAATATAAAAATAAAAAAAAATTCCATTTAAAAGTTAATTTGCTTAGTACCTTATCAAGATCAACCTTTTTATAATTAAAAGCAGCATCAAATTTTAATTCATTCAAAAGAAAATCAACTTTCTCATCAGATCCGGTAGACCCAACAACTCTCATTCCTTTAATTTTAGCTATTTGACCAACGAGTTGTCCAGTAAGACCAGCAGCAGTCTAAAATAATTAGTAATTTTATTTTAAGCACCTTTTTAAAAAGAATGTAAGTAAATATAATTAAGAGAGTTTGTTATGCATACCGAAACATAAATTGTTTCTCCCTCTTTTGGTTTTCCAATATCTATAAGAGATGCATAAGAAGTCAATCCACCAAATCTAAGAAAACTAACGTGGTAACTTAATGGTGTATCCTTTAACAATTCTTTATTTACAAATGAAAAAGCATAAGCAATATCAGATTTGATATAAGAATATTCTTCCCAACCTAAGATAGAATAAAAAATAATAATAATTTAAATTCAATTTTTTGCAATAAAATATTTTTTTTACATATGTTTTTACATATTATTTACCAATAGCTCCAAAAACGAGATCTCCAACTTTAAATTTAGGATTATTTGTTTTTACAACTTCAGAAACTCCCAACCCTTTTATAACCTGACCAATTGGTATCTTTTTATCATATTTCAAACTGGATGATGTTGGTTCTTGTAAAGTAATACGAACATAAGGGTCTATAGACAAATATAAATTTTTAAGAACAAAATCATTTTCTTCCAAATTCAAATTTTCAATATCAATTGTACGATGAGCCAATTCAAAATCTTTATCAACTTCAGGCGTTCCTTTTGGATTTGCCTTAAGAATTACTCCTTTATTAGATTTGACTGTCATATTTTTTTTTTTTTTTTTTAGTTTTTAGAAAAAAAAATTAATTTGTATGAATCAAAATTTGCACATTTATAGTAAAAAATTCATTTGACTTGGAAATAAAATTTTTATTTTTAAATGGACTTCCTATATTACCCAAAGTGTAAAAAGTAAATTTGCCATTACAATAATGAGCCTATTACATCAATTAGTCGATTTTCATTTTTCAATCAAACCAAACGAAGGAAAATATATCTTAAAAAAGAAATCAATATAGCCGACAAAATACGAGAGAATATTCCTTTTTTGTTAATATAATGATCGCCTTATTGTATGAATAATCATGCTTATGCATAATAATCTTTATTATGTGGTCGATTTCCGGATGTCACGTGACCAGATGCAAATCAACGGAGGATAATCTATCTTAAAATAGAAATCATTATAGCGACAAAATAAGTCCTTTTTTTTTTTGTTAACTTAATCATAGTTTATTGTATGAATAATCATACTTACGCATAAAAATCCCATTATGTGAATAATGTGGTGAGTTGCACAATATTTCCGGATGTCCCGTGACCAGATGCAAATGGTAAATCACAAACGGTAAATGATTAAAATTACTACCATATTGGAATAAATATATTTATGAATTATGATAATATATTATATATTTGTATACGGCAATGCCGAAGCTTTATAATATTTCAATATAATATATTCGTGCTTTTATTATCTGTGTAATAGAGGCGTACCGCAGAAAAATGTCACGCTCACGTGATTTGTGATGTTAAAATGCCAGTTCGAAAATAACGACAAATAAAAAGGTAAAACAAAATAGTAAGACTTTGATATTTTTATTTAAGTTAATGATGATTAATAAATTTTTTTTTATTAAATCTTTTTTATTAATACAATATAACTTTATAATGTAAATTATTACATATTATGTCCATTGCTATTATAATCTTTCCAAGTATAAGTCACTTATTATAACTTTCAATATCTTTTATCATTTTTGAAAGCTATAATTTTATTCGACTTTTTTTTAATTATTTCAATATTCCCTGCATCCTTTTGCTTCTTTTGCTCCTTAAGGATTTTTGATGTACTGTAGGATCAATTATTTGAATAAATTCATCAAAGAAGATTCTTTTGTTGATTACATGCATTATTGTTGTATTTTGTGCCAAATATTCCATTGTTATTAGGTCCTCATTTTCATTTGGAATGATCAAACAAGTGTATAATTAAGCTAAATTAAATCCCTATAAAAAATTTATTCCGTGTTTTTTTTTATTCCATGTTATTTCCGGGAATGTATCATATTCACGGAATTTATTAGCCTCAAAACATAGAAATTATTTGCTTGGATTTTTAGTTAAATATATCATGTTCATGGAGTTGTACAGAAATTACAGTTAAAATTTTTTTACGGGGAATGGAAAAAATTCGTATCCATATTACCATTAAAATGAATTAGATCACTCTGCTTTTCCGTTCCCGTCTACAAAGAATTTGTTGAAACTTTTATTCTTGTAAAGGAACAATCTTTTGATAAAGTATATGTAACTAAATTATGTGACCTACCAAAGTAAATACTATATTTATCGCAAATGGACACATGACTGGCCTTGTTAAAAGTCGTAGAATGATCAGACCCAATCAATTACTTGGATTCAAAATTCGTGATCCTGAAATACCAAGTGTCAAACGGTATAAGACTATAAGTATTAAGTCGGAAGATTTGACAAAAATTAGCTTAGATCATCTTCCTAGGATACATGGGGATGACGATAAACAGGTGTGGTTGAGCGGCAGACGATCAAAGTTAATACATTTCGTCGTACATTTTCGTCATACATTTTGTTACCCAAAAACCATAATTTGGTCAATCTTATATCTGTTATATCAATTTTATTATTATTGAAGCTTTATTACTTGTTTTATAATCCATTTTAAAATTCTCATGAAATTTTTAAAAATAAATGAAAGGATGAATTAGTATTGCAAACGAATATTCACGGCCATATGGGTTGATAGAAAACAGTGCGTAGACATATATTGTCCTTCGCTTCTCTCCGAACAGTTAGTTATTGATACGAATTTCATGATTGAACGTTTAACTTGTAATATACGGTGAACATTTATAAAAAATTAGAATAAATGATTATCAAATATTTGATTTATTGGTTTTATTTAAATAAAATTTATTATATAACCATGATTTTAACGTTGCACACGCGGACGATGATTTTTTATTTTTGATTTTTGACAACATTGATGGATGATTGATTTTTCAAATTATTATATATACAGTATTATTTAACAAGGGAATACCGTCCCAATTATTAAGGGAACCATGAAAGTGCCAACAGCAATCCTGATTATTATTGATCGGTCCGCGTGTTTTAGTATCTTCAAAGTTCTAAATAAAGGTAAAACGTTGTATAGTTATCAGGTATAGCCAAACTGATCAATTTGATTTTGATGTTCTAAATCTAAAGTATCGATGGCAGTAACTACAGCCCATGTACTGTACCTGCAACAAATTTGTTATAAACCCATATTGTATGGCCTGTATATACAAGATATTGCATCTAATTAATACGTAATAATACTGAGAGTCTGAGAGAATTACTGCTATAACTATTCAAAAATTTACCTTCAGTGAGCGATATATAAGCTATTTGACTAAAGATGATTGAAATTATTAAAGCGAGAAGAGGATGAGACTTCATGGTAAATATAAATGATACAGTGTATACCAAGATTTGGTCACGATATGGTTTTAGTTGCATTTAAAAAGAAATTATAAAGTGCGTGCATTTAAAAAGTGTTAGCTTAGATAGAATTGACTGTATAATTATTTGAATAAATTCTGGACACTTTTTTCAATCAAACATAAGGTTTTATACTCCTTTAGTATTTCTCTTTGAGGAGGTCATCAGGATTTACAAAAAATATTTATAGAAATAACAAATCTTAAGTGTACAACGTGACAAATTTATTCGAGAGATTTTATCTTCTCGCTAATTTTAAGAAAATTTCAGAAATCAAAATATCTCACAATTTCATTTAATAAATGCTTGTAATTACCTTTGAAATTGATGCTAAATTTCGAGTTGTTTTTGCCAAATTTTCAACCAACTCCTCTATCTTTTCTAAGCGTTCGTTCAAAATTTCATGTCAGGATCATCATCGCTTTTATTTGAAACGTCAGTTATATTAGAAAGCTTTTTATTAAATTTTTTGTTAGCAGTGGCATTTTTGGTTCTAAAATATTTTTATTATTTTTATTAATTTGCTTAGGCATTTTGCTCAAATATCAATTAGTATATAATTCGATAATACATATATTACTATACAATATACAGTATACAGTATGTATTAAAATTTAAAAGTGTTATTATAACTAAATGATTTTTTTTGATTTTATTAGATTTTTATTAATGAATTTTTGTAATTACCGCCGCCGGTGACCATCACCGCTATCACATGATTGATATAACACGTGATATTTACAATGTGATTGCGATCGTTTACTTGCAAATTTTAAAAAGTTTTTAAGCTCCCTATGCAACTAATCCTAACCTAACCCTAAGTTTGACCTTCAACGCAATAATATTCCTATGCAACTAATGCTAACCTAACCCTAAGTTCTACCTTCAACGCAAATGATATTTTCAACACAATTAAATCCAAGTCACTTTTAATACAATCGATAAAAAGAATTCAATTGGTAATCAATTTATTACATAATAAAAAAAAGCATTACAATATTAAAATTACAGAAGTAATTACAATATAAGAAGAATCATATATAGGTACGATGCCAATTGTACTGAAACACCAAGGAATCATAATATCATTAATAAAACTGGTGATTTTTACAGAATCTGTATTCTTTATTCTATTGACATTGCATACCCAAGGACAATTTATCTTTTCTGATTGTCAATTTCTTTGTTGCATAAAATCAATAACCTTCTTTGATTTACGAATTCTTTCATGATGACATTCAAAAGACCTTCTTACAATGATTGATTTATCGGTTTTATCTTTTTCTATTCGTCCTTTTATGATTACAAATCCATTTGATTTTGCATACTGATCAAGAAAACGTTCTGCAAGCTCATAATTGTAAAAATCATTCCAATTTCTGATTTCTGTTTCCTCTTCTTGGTACTCAAAGCCATCATTAGTTGAAAATCTAGTTAAAATATCAAAAAAATCAATGTTAGTAAAACAAAACTGTATATTAACACTTACCATCATCATTTTCAAATTCATCCGATTTATTAGCAATATAACTGTAGCTATTATTATCATCAAATATTATTGTAGGATCATTCAAATTAATTTCATCATTATAATTATCAATATTCATTTTGGAAAAAAAAGAAAGTATATATATAATAAAAATAAAAAGGAAGAAATATTTGTATATGAAAAAAAAAAAATACTTTCACAAAACTATTTTGATTTGATTTGGAATCAGTAAATAAAATAATATCGTAATAATCACGTGAAACAAACTTTTGCGGTGATGATCACCTGCGGCGGTACTAAGATTTTATCATTTATTTATTTCAAATTTATATGTACAATTATAAATGAAAGTTGAATTTATAATTTTGAAATAGGAATTTAAAATTGCATAAAAATCTATAATCACTATTCATAACTAATTTATTATCTATCAATATCTTTATCTGCAATATAAAATAGTTTATCAATCTCAATTGGGAAAGGGATAGGAGTAATAGTCTAAGTTGATTCAAAAAGGCTAACATAAATTAATAAATAAATTTTTATGATAATACTTAGGTGTAAAGTTGCTATTATAATTGGTATCCATGTACATTTCACTAAACCCATTTTTCTGAAGAAATTTCGCCAGAAATGTTTTACCAAAGTGCCATTTTGTCAAAAAACAATTTCCCGAATGAATATTCTCCCTAAATGGCTATTTTGCTGAAAGACATTTTGCCAGAGCCATTTCAGTGAAGGAACATATTGCCAAGATATGGAACTTTTTAAATTTCCTATTTTTTTGAAGATAAATGAATTATTTATATGTTATATTGACTCATTTTTTTTATTAATTTTATTTGATCTTAAATTTAAGATAATGAAATCATCATACTCCTAATTTTCTGGAATAAACGAAAAAAGAGAATTTGTTCTTTGAAAATTTAATTATTTTCTTTGTATTAAATTGATTTAATTAAGGAAATATGTCAATTACTAACATTTTAGGTAAAATGTCCCACCAAAATAGATGAGGAGCCAGCGAAATGCCCATTTGCCCATTTGATGGGATGTCTCTTCTGCAGAACTTCCAAAACTTTCTTTTAGTGAATGACTTTGGAAAAATGAGTTTCTGCAAAACAGACTTAGATGAAATGTACGATAATCATTATAATTTATAAGAAATAATGAAATAAAAATATTGTATAAACAAACATTATTCAATAATTATTATATTTAATAACGTTCATTTTATTGCAAAAATTGTAAATTACATAATTTAAATATTTTCTATATAATAACTGATAAATAGTTCAATAAATAAAAAGATTATTGATTTTCAATTATACATTCAAAACACTCAGACTTTTCTTGAACTAAGAAGTTTTCAGACTTTCCCTGAATTACGATTTCAGATTTATTTTGAGCAGTAAATTTGCGACTTGTATAATATGCTTGTGGATGAGATTGCATAATAGGAGAATTTGCATGTTCTTGTACTGAAGTTTTGTCTGCTTTTGCAAATTCCAACATATCATCTTTTAATCGATTAACAACATTAGGTACCATAAATTTATAATCTCCATCCCTGTTTATACTATAATATTCACTAATACAACTAATCCATTCAGATATAATATTTTCAAGCATTCTTATGGTTGGTCTATTGGAGGGATTTGAATCCCAACATTTTTTCATTAAATCTATATAACATTTTGGAGTATTTTTTATAATTTCAGGACGTTTCTCTTCACAGATACTCAAAATAAGGTGATGATCATGTGCTTCATAATTAAATGGAGGAATACCTGATGTAAATTCCCACATTATCATTGAAAAACTATAAATATCACTTGCTGGGGTATAGGGTTTGTTTCTTAATATTTCAGGTGCCATATAAGGTAAAACTCCATAAATTTCGTTAACCTTATTATCAGAATCACTTATAGGTTTACATAGTCCTAAATCAATAATAAATAATTCATTGTGATTATCTGACATTAAAATATTACCATCATGAAAATCACCATGAGTTAAATTTGATTCATGAATTACTTTGAGTCCTAATACAATTGTTTTCAATAATTGTAACTTGTCTTGCCACTTAAATTTAATTATATCAGACAAACATTTTCTCAAACTTCCTTTTTTTGCATAACTCATTACTATTATATAATTTAAATTATTTGGATCTTGAGTAATTCCAAAGAATTGAATAAATTTTGAAAATGATTTTTTTTGACAATTATAATGATATTTCCACTATATAGATGATAAAAAAATTATTAATTTTTTTGCAAAAGAAAATAAAATTTGCTATTAAAATAAATACTATACCTCATCAAGAAATTTACTATTTAAATTTGATGAATTATTAAGTGTTTTGAGAATAACCTCATACTCTGTTTGTCTATACCATTGTTGTTTGTCAAAGTCCCAACTATAAATAGGTCCATCTAACCAGATAGCAGTATGAATTTCACCAAATCCTCCTTTATCATAATAATCTATACTTGACAATTTATTATAAGGTATCCATTCTAAAATTTCATAACTATTTTTAGCATTTAGTTGTGCTTCTTGAATAAAATTATAAATAAATTCATTTTTACTAGTCCACTTTGAAAAATCTTGTTGAAATCGTCTAGTATTACATTGTTGGCACCACTGATAATCGGTATATGGTTGCTTACATTCATTACATGATTCAACTTCATTTTTAAGATTTACTTTATTATTTTCTGCTACTTTTTGATACCAATAAAAAGCTTTTTCTAAATTCTTCTCTGTTCCTTCTCCATTTTTATAACATATGGCTAAATTATTCATTGCATTTTTATCACCATTTTCTGCTGCTTTTTGGTACCAATGAAAGGCTTTCTCTAAATTCTTTTCTGTTCCTTCTCCATTTTTATAACATATGGCTAAACTATTCATTGCATTTTCACCGTCATTTTCTGCTGCTTTTTGATACCAATGAAAGGCTTTTTCTAAATT